TTTAGGAATAGATATTTGCAGGTTTCTTCACGAGGTGACCCGTAATCATGTTCCCATTGGCACTAAAAGTAATATACTAGAAGGTATGTTGAAATCTCAGATAGACAAACATAAGGTATTAAATTCTTATGCTCACTTTGAAGCGCTCAGTAATAGGATATACCAGTTCAACTGGCTGATTTATCCTTATGGCTGATTTAAACCGTAGAGTTGTTTTCAGGTATGAATCTTATGAAGACGACCTACCAGACATAAATGACGCAAACACTGACTACGTAAATTGTGAAGATTTCTGGAAAGGAGTCTCGTCAAATATTTTAAGTAAAGTGTTCCTTGGTAGGAAAGTAAATTCATTTATCATTAAACCAAGATTGTCTTTTTGGTCTGCATACACTGGCCTAAACTCAAAAAAACAGCGATGGTGTTGGGAACAGCTAACATCGAAAAGTTCATAGGGAATCTGGGGAAATGGAGGCAGACTGTAGAGAACTAAGTGGGGACTTTTTTAAAAAAAAATTCTGAAAGTAAATTGGCTGATGTTCAAAAATTAAGGGGAAAAGTAAACGTTAGTACCAAAGGATCAAAACTTGATATAATCAGTCGAATTAAGGAATCATAAGTTACTGAGGGGGCAGCATTAAACAAAATATTAAAAAAATATTTTGGTCGGTCTGGGGGCTAGCTAACTGTTACATGTAAACACGGTGTAATATACAGTGAAATTTCTTTTGCCAGATAGCATTGCGAGCAGAGATTTCAATCTATAATTGATTTGCAAAATGAGGCTCATAATCGCAATTTTTTAAAAGGAAAGGAGACTAATACTGGTTTACAGGTAAATTTTTTTAGGACGGGCCATATTTAGTAATAAAGGTGCTGCACTAGGCATTTCTAAAGAAATTGAAAAAAACAATGCTACCACCGAGGCAAATAGATAGTTCAGCTGAAAAAGATTTTGCGAAACAGGTAGAAGTTGAAGTGTCCCTCAATGTTGAATCCCCATGTGCTCTTTCAAACATATAGCAAGAAAACGTTTTTGAAAGAAATGGCGACTTCAGGAATGATGAAAGGGGCTGGAAAGAGATGCAACAACACAGTCTTTATCTCCATGTGTTTGCGCGAACTTTGAGAACTATGAAAAGTAGAACCGAAAATGAAGAATTTTGTGTAGGTTTACAAAACGAGCTTTTGTCTCCTGGTGTCTGCCCTGATAGACTTGTCTCTCATTCTGTTACCATACGCTTTGCAAAGAAAGGCCACAGAAGATCCGATCGCTGTAGAGACAAGCGAGGGTTTACTTGATGTAAAGATTATGGACTAACAAAGTGATTTAGATTACGAAGGGAAAAGAAATTCAGAGGAGTCAAACAAAACCGAAAACAGCTTCCCTAGTAGTGTCCCCTCCTTACAAATAAGGTGGCTAGGTGTACTAAAGTTGACTGAGCACGATAAGTTGAATCTTTCCTCTTGAGACCCAGTCACAGCAGCGATCTGCGACGCAGCAATGGATATAATCAGAAGAAGGAACCGCCAACTGTCCAGACTGCAGTCATTGTCGGGAATTTATAAATACGCAGGGATATGACAGCAACAATGAAGTCAGATATCACCATAGTCACGTATCACTCGAAGAATACGCCCATAAACTTCTTAACATTATTAATAAATGTTGCTGATGTAAATCCTCCAAATAAGAATGCCTTATGTGGTGTTGCAGCCATATTTCATGCCCTGTGCCTCAGTAGAAACATTGATCTGCAGACGTACATTTTCACTATCAAAACCTAGGGAAGAACCTACAACAGCGTTTTGTAGCTAACTCATTTAATAGTATTCAGTTTTCTGGAACTCTGCTACCAAATAAGAAAGTTCTTTTTGAAATCAATGTTTCACTTTACTGCCATTGTAAAATGCCGTATGTAAAGGAGCCAATGATAGAATGTTCTGATCGCAAGAACTGGTTCCATCAACGTTGTGGGAAAGGGAATGTTGAGTGTCATCAGTGGCAGTGCAAATGTTGTTGTCAAAAGGCAGCAAACATCAGTTCTCCGATTACAAGAAAGCATGCTGCACAAAACATGCAGTATGAATTGTCTAATTCTGGTAGAAAGCTTTAGTTAGAATAGCTTTATATAACGAAAGTAATTTTTTTAAAAATAATATGCTAATTCAGATGTCAAATGTAATTACGCTTTGTCTTAGTTAGAGCAAGAATTTACGATGTAAATATCTGTAACTTCTTTATCAGGCTCGGACGGAATGGACTAGACTGTGTACATGTGGCAAAAAAGAGAAAAAGTAAAAATAAATAAAAATCTTCAGTTTCATTGTTTTCATCACTCCGATTTCCAATCACCTGCAAAAATCCAAGCCCCGTGCTTGATCTCAGGTGCCAATCCAGTGGTTGCGAGGCGAAGGAAAGCTGTTATAAAATTTGCTGGATTTTCCTAAAAATCAAGATGAAAAATCTCCCAAACAATAGGCTTCCACCAGCTATTTGTTAATTCGCGTACTCAAAAACAAAAATATGTCGGATAATTTAGCTCTTAGGACCGTCCTAGAATTTGATCGCCAAGATGCCTCTGAACCCCTTTTTTTCTTCCTTTGATTCACAGGTGTTTTGTTTGTAAGGAATGTAATGACAATGCCTTATATTCATATATTATAGTTGCTATTCATATATACCGAATGTATATATTATTGAATAGACATAATAATAGATAAATATTGTTTTACCTTGCTCTTTATGGAAAAGAGATTAAAAATAATTCTCCAGAAAACCAATACAGAATTTCTTCTTCTTTGTTTTAATCACAAATTTACTAGCATGCTTTCTTCAGCAAAACAATTTGAACGAAGGGGCTTACAATCTTTCATAGTTTCTCGTCTTTTTTCTAGCAAAGAGTCCTGGAATTTTGAATTTTTCACATGATTCTGCTATTTGACGCAGGGATTCTCAAAAACGGGCAACACTAATAACGTGCTATCTGCACATAGCTCACTGCAAAATACTGTTTTAAAGTCTTCTAAAAGCATTAACGGCATAACACAGTGACAGGATTGTGAATATTTTTCAGAGAATTGTAAAAAACTGTTCGGGCTGAGGGCTGACGAGATATCCTGGCGGTCTTTCACTTGAAAGCCCAAATGGCATTTTCAACCGTTTTCGTTTTTACTACCATGCTTTCATGAGCAAAACACTTTAAACCAAGGGGCTTACAATCTTTTATGGTTTCCTATCATTTCCCTAGCAAAGAGCACTGGAATTGGGAATTTTTCACACGTTCCGCAATTTGACGGGAAGATTCTCAAAAAAGAGCAACACTTCCGCGTGTCTACAAAAAACGACATTGGAAGTATGACATTTGCCTTTGCTTCGGCCAGTGAAAGTCTGCCCGTAGGCCCGAAAAGTTTTACTTTGGGGATTTCTTGTGTCTCTTGACGATTGTCTTGTCAATTTTTTATTTAAGGTAGAAAACTTTTGATTTTGCATGTTTTAGGCAGAAATGAAGTGATCTAGCTTGATATCTCAACATTACAGACATTGTTGACTTCAAATATTTTTTCATTTTGAGAAAATAGCAAATTCCTACATACAAATGCGATAAAACAACAACAAATATGAATTCATGTCGTTTTTGACCTCATTCAACCCCTTAAATCACTCAAAATTACTGTTAGAAAAAATTCTGCTATTTGACGGGAATCCTTTATTTACTTGCTCAGGCATATGCTTGCGTTCCGAGCCACCGTACCTCCTTTCAGTGGCACAACAAGTTGATGACTGGTAAGGCTACTAATCAATACATTTCTATCATAAATTAATATTCCACTTTTAAAAATATTCTACATGTAATTTGCGATGCATACAAAGCCAGGATAACAGATGCCAGCTAATAATAGGGGGTATCTGTTATGCTGTTTAAATGATACATGATATAACAACAAAAATTGATATAGCGGGAAACAGCGACATAAAATTATTCAAATGACCTAAATTAATTTACCATTCTTTTTATAAGGTGTTTGTGTGGGCATTGCCAGCCTCAAAAGTCCAGAAAGGAAAATATTTGCTGCTGCTCAATTCCAATCGTCTTGAGAAGTTGTAGGAAAGGGAAGGGGAACCCTTTGACCTGCATAACTGATCATGCAGGGTTTTCTGCTGTCTGTTAAAATGTGTGGACCCTGGAAACTGCCTGTCATTATTATAAACAGCAGTATGAAGATGCTTATGAAGGACACAGACATGAGAAATTTTGTCACATTGCATATCGCCAAATGGTTCAATGGATTCGGCACTATCTTGGCAGGCATGTTAGAGTTGTACTACCTAGCTCTGCATTTGCATTCAAGCTCATTTTCCACCTCCAGGAAATAGGGAAGAGTTTACTTTTGTAGGGTTCAAACTCCCTGATATTTAATTAGTTTTATTTACTTGTAATCTTTTTATGCCTAACAAAAATCATTTATAACTGATTTACATAAAGGTTATTTACAATTATTTTTTGCAAAAACGAGATCGAGAGACTGAACTGCTTCCTCATTACTTGGACGCTCATACCGACGACACAAAGGTTGCATGCGTTCCTCTGGAGATTCAGCAATACAATTTTCAGCTCTCGTCATCAGCTCTGCAAACAGATTTCAAACAGTCACTCTCGGTAAAAGAAAACCAGAAGATGTTACAATATTGGCGAAAAATAAGCATATCATATTCTCAAATAAACAGGAAACAAAAAGTATATTGTGCTACGATGGTATATATACAATTAGTTATAATCCTTCTACCTTTCTTATACTTCTTGTGCAAGTAGGTGTGGGAAACAACCAAATATAATGCCTTTAAACCCTAAAAGGTACTGAATAAATTTAAGCCAAGTTATAATAATAGTGGAGGTTAGTGGAGTCCATCCCAAATAATTAAGCCAGCTTTCAAATAGTCTGAGTCATTTGAAATTCAATTATTTAAGGGATGAGCATGTAACTAACTTAATAGAAAAGCTGATTTCAGATTGTATTGGTTTTATTTGAAGTGCTTTAGTGTAGTTTGCAAGTAGGATATACTGACCCAAAATTAAATGCTCAGTCAATCAGCCCAAAAACCAATCCCACGAAAGGTAAATAAAGGATATAGCCATCAAAAAGCAAGAAACATTGCATGTTGAAACATCAAGCCTGAATGCATTATAATAGTGCTGGTCTGTGGAAGAATGCTTGGAGAAGTATTCTTCCTTTTGGATCCTTTAATGAGAGCATCCGCCACTCTTTGTCAATTTCATAAATAATTTCATTTGTAAGGCATTTTCTCACTTGTTCATGCCTCAAAGCAGCGTTTGCAATTTGGGTGTATGTCCCATGGCAAATCATGCTACCAAGAGGAACGAGATCCTTTGGCAAGCAGTATGTTTTGGTTTTTGACTTCCAGTTTACGGAGACGCTGACTGTTGTTTCCTGGGTATCTGAAAAGTCTAAAGACCTTGCTGTTCTTGACTTTCCAGCCGGCATACTAGATTCACCCAATACAAACACTTTTGGTGCTGACAACAGGCTTTTTGGGGGTGCTGGTGAATAATTTATTCCAAGCAGCTTCAATTAGCGATAAAGGCAAAGGGCTACTCTTTTCATCAACTTTTTGGTGGCCATCTTCATACCTTTTTTCTAGGTTCTCTGCAAGTTCTTGGGCCTCAGCTTTAGCAGAACACCTTTGACGTAACAAGGGAAGACAATCTTGCAAGGTATCTGGATTCGAATTTTGCATAATTTATAATCTTTCCAAATGATAGATAAAGTATATCTTCAGTGTAATTATTTTTGCCACTTTTTTGTGGTCAATTCCAAGAGACAGATTGCACACAGTGGCTTAAATGCAGACGCCATGAATACTGTTTGTTTGATCACTGTTGTTGCTATGTATCCATAGAAATAGGAAAAGTGCTGAGTTGGCAGAACAAGAAAACACACTCAGTTCCACAGATTCTACTTTCCTCTCATTTTTCTCCTCTACGAGTCTTACGCAGGCTGGGCTAGATGGAGCTTGCAAGTTGTACGCTCTGCAGGCCACCCAAGAAAGACCCTGCTTTGTTTTAGGCAATAATTTTTGGCAAATCAAAGGTTACATAAATTTAAAAGTTGTTTAGTCCCAGAAACCAACTGATATCAATAAAATTGTTATAGAACTTTTAAATTGAGGAACTTGGGAACACCCTAAATTTGGCAACCAAAAATAAAAATGCGTTAGATCAGCTGGCAAAGGTGTCAGGTGACGTTAATGCAAATTTTATATGTCATATAAAAAAAACCAAAAAAATCTATATATCAAAATTTATAAAATCCAAATGTAAAATATATATGTAGATTAATGATTCGTCATCGTTTGTTTATCAGGAAAACGAAGTGTACTTATTCTTCATACACAAAAAGCATGATTAACGCATATTACTCATACACATTTTCCTCAATAAAAAGGTATAATCTGAAAAAACAGCAGTCATGTTGGACCAGCGATTTTTAGACGAGCAAATTGTCAAGATGGCTGTTGAAAACTCAAATTCCTTATCGCCATCTTGAAGAAGTGGCAGCCATTGCTGGGCTGAATTCAGCAGCCATTTACAATGGTTACCACCGTCTTTGAAGAAAGAACAAAGAAAAATATTGAAGAAATTGCATGATAATCCTTAATCTAGAGAGCAATGTTTTGCTCTCTGAATACAAACTGTTTGTTTTACCTATTGTTGCTCTTTTCTTTACATGTATTTATTTTTTATTGTCTCCCAGTCCATGTCTTGATTGCCTCAGTTGACGAAATATAGCCTCCTTCAATAATGTTCTACCATTGAATAAAGGTCGTACAGATAAAGTGTGAACAGAACTGTTAAACAGAACAATTTTGAGCGGCGACAGTGTTAACACTTGTGGACCGAAATGGCAGAGGCTAAATATAAGTCATCTTTTAGCTTTCAGTTTATACACTATCATACAAAACTGTATAAAGTTTCTAATAATGACTTTGAAGGAAGCATACATTATAAAACATACTAAAAGCTTTCTCGTCTGATACTCCTCAGAGCATAAAACGCCTGTATCTTTTCCGACTCCCAACTTAGACCAGTTGTAGATGGGACCCTTCACTGTCCAGATGACTGGTGCGTCAATTCTGCACCTGGAGGCCAGTTCAGACACGTTGCAATCAAACTAGCCACTGTTGGTGAAGCAATAAAAAAGAAACGTTCTTCAAAATGGGTTGCATTTGTGGTCGGTACGAACGATTTGGCCAAACACATGGTTTTGGATAGAGCCAAGGATGATTTCTGTCATTTGCTTGCAACAGTCACAAAGTTTTTGCAGACAGGTCTGTGACTAGTCTCAAATAACTGCCTGACTTGAGAATTTGCAAACATTATCAAACCATTTCATTGTAACAACATTGTTTTGGGTAATTTCCAAAAGTTTCGTTTAGGTACAATGAAAGAACGAATAGCGCCTTTGCAGAACTGTAAATTCGTTAGGGGTCTTAAATCTCAAGAAACAAGCAAATTTTCCGATATATGACATAATTTTCGAAAAATTTGTTTAAAGAATGACTCTAGCACAAGCTGGAAGGGGGGGGGGGAAGGTTCTCATGCCAAAATTGCAAAAATATCTATGTTCCTTTCTAGGGAGGCTGTAATATTATCAGAATTATTATCATAACATGAAAATGAATTTTATTGGCTTAATACATAGCTACATCTTGTTGAAAAACTGTTAGCTATTTATTATCATTTGACAACTAATGCCATTTTGGAATTCCTCGCATACATCACGATAATTCAAGTGCCTTTCCATTATAGGTTCTTGTAGTATCGATTCTGCCATGGCTCGATGAGGCAGACATCCGACTCGGCCATTACAATTATATGATGGCAAGAGAGGCATCTGCTTCAAATGTTGCAGATGCAGACAATGATTATGATCGCTGGGACCTTTCTGGTCGAACAAAGACAGCGTCCATTTAAGTGCAAACTTTGGTCTGCCACGACTCATCTCATTAATCGTGGATCAACTTGAGAAAATCTAAGCCGAGGTTGAAGACACATAAAAGACGAGGGGGCCAAGGTTATGCCCTGCATTCATTTGGAGGGAGCTGAAAAACCAACACCCTCTTGGTGAGTTTTTGATGAAAGAAACTGTAAAGCACATGCACCTGAAAGATAGCAGCTTTTATCTGAATAAGATAAAAGTCAGTTCATGAGTCGATATGTGTTTGTTTGAGAGTGTTTTCCAGCCTTGGATTTTGTAATGTCAGAAAGAGCCTTCATCATTATGGCCTGATTGTTTTAAAATCATAGTTAAGCTGGAAAATACCTGCATTTCTCAAGTCTACGCTAATCATAATTGTTTCCATTTTTTTCCTATTTATTTGATAATTTTTTTCTTCAGGCAAACAATTGATCAAAGCTGAAGAGGAAGCCATGCCTTTGAAAGTAACAAAAATTGATAAAAGAAAAAGAATCAGCTATGTGTATGTCATTTTTGGATTCCATTAAACATTAATTCATTAAACGTTATGCACTTTCAGCAACAGAGAACCATGATTTCAAAATTATACATAAAAAAATATAAATTGTGCTCTCTTAAAAGATGCAATGTATCACTATTGTTTTATATTGCTTTTGCAAGCAAAATGTTAATAAATTTAATTATCAACTACCTATTAATTACATTTTATACTTTCTTGAAGATAGAAAACAAGTGCCAAAATTTGGAAAACAACCCACTAAGAAGGAGAAAAAAAAAGCAAAAAACGGTATGTCTCTTCGATTTAATTTTACAGAATGAAATTGAAAATGATGATCTTCAAACGATTCAATGTTCTTTTGATGTAGCTGCTACACACCACATTAAAGAAATCGTTGATTGGCAAGTTTGCTAATTGAAGCAGCAGAACAAAAAGGTATCAGCTTAAATTTTGTAACATTAACGCAAATCTTTAGAAATTTTCAACATAATAACAATATGTTTGAGTTGAATTTACAGTTGAATTGCAGATCCTTTCGCAGTGAGTAATCTAAATGGCTGTGGACCCAAGAAACAGGACTGAACTGCAGACTGCAGTTTCTATGCTGGCTTTTATATCCTGTAATGTCAAGCTTTTGCATGACTCTGTTACCTAACATAGCTTTTCAGAATTATGAAAGGTAGCTATGATGTTATAACCTGATACTTTAATATCTTAGACAATTGACCTGGAGAAGCAGCCCAAGAGAATGGAAGATCCTGCTCGTAGAATGGCTGCAGAAGGAGAGGTGCCGCCAGTAGTTGCTAGCGTTATACATAAGTGTGTCCCTTTATCAACAAACGTATCCGTAGACAAACACCTTGGGACTATATCGCCTGAAATACATATCAACAGTATGGTCGAAAAATTAAAGCAGCTTTATGACATAACAAGGCAGGAACATGTGGTTTTGTATGGTAATGTGTACCATGACTTGAAGTCCCTTGAAGTCTGCAGAAGTTTCATAAAGCAAAAATAAATTAAGTATAAGATAGAGATCGAAAATTAATGGCTTAGAAAGGTTTTGGGCTTTATTGAGCACCCTCCAGGTATAAATAGGCCTGATATATATTGCCTGCGATCTGATTTCAAAAGTACAGGAAAGGCCCGACAATCACAAGTATCCCTCCTTGCAGTTATCTGTTTGATTGTATATTGTATAATAGATTCTATAGCAAATCTAATAAACCATGATATCAAAGACACATTTGCCCTTTACTATAACTTTGAATCCGGTATAGAATTTATTCCTCTAATGGGCGTCAAGCTAACCCTCACAAACCACACACCATTCGAACTGTAATTTCTTGCTCTTTTCAATGAGCCTACCATCTTCATTGGGTCTCCTATTGAGAAGGATAGAATTATGGTTTTCCGTTGGTGGAAAAGATGCAAAACGTTCGATATTCAAATTTGATTGGCTAAAAATGATCACATGATCAGTATTCTATTGTTCAAAAATGGCGTCTTGCCTACCAGCAAAATTTGAAAGCTGTTGTGTGGTGTGAAGATACGTTCCCTACTTTTGGAGTTTGCGGTGAATCTACTTTACTATTTATGTTATCGCGTGTATTGGCTTTACTATCAACTGTTCCTCAAACTGACATATTCGAACTTCATGGCAAGACATCCCAAGCTAGGCCCCTTTGTTTACTCGTTGTTTTGGCGAAGTGAAATAGCGTTGGTGTTATTCGAACTTCCTTTTTCGCCAGACTTGATCGGAATTGATTTCAAATCTTCTTGTTTTCTGAACATGGGTAGACCACAGAAAAACAACCTGAAATATTGGTTGGACAAGCATCCACGCTTTATTTTGTGTGTGGATGTGACTCAAGGTTAGCCCTCCATTCTTCAGATTTGTCTAGAAAATCAAAGCATTTTCAAGTAAATGACAGGCTGCAGGTTGCAACGTATGAAATTGGATGCCATTATGAAGCTGCAAGAAACTTCTGTGCCAATATGGACCTTCCACCACCGGTTTCATTCAAACCATGGAATAAGAAAAAGGCAAGGATCCACGAGGCATTCAAAGCAGAGTCTTCCAAGAGCAAGAACAAAGCTGCTTCAGAAGTAAAAGTTGCCAAAGGGGATGATGTCACTGTCTCTTGTGATGGAACTTGGCAAAAGCGTGGATTTGCAAGCAAGAATGGTGTTGTGACAGTTGCAACAGTCAATAGACTTAGTTCCAAAATAATTGACACTGAGACCTTGACAAACGATTGCAATAAATTGAAAGCAACAACAAATGGCAATGAAACTGCACATAAATGCCAGAAGAATTATGAAGGAACTGCAGGGTCTATGGAAGGTGAAGGTGTCAAAAGAATTTTCAAGCGGTCACAACAACAGTATGGCTTATCATATGTTGGATACTTGGGAGATGGTGACTCAAAGAGCTTCAAAAATCTGAGTGAGGCAGTGTCACCAATCTACCAAGGGAAACAAATTGAAAAATTAGAATATGTTGGTCATATTCAGAAAAGAATGGGGAGAAAATTGAGCAATCTTGTTTTCAAATGTAAAAATAAGATTTTTATCAACAGTGATGGAAAGAAAGTGAAAAGAAATTGGAGGGAAAAGGAAGTTGACAAAAAAAGGACATTTACGGGATTCAAGGAAATTATGGAGCAGCAATAAGAAAACATGTTTGAGATGAAAATAGAATGAGAAAGGCAGTTTGGGCCATTTTTCATCACAGATAAGAAGACCATTCGATGTGTGAAGAATGGTGCCTGTCACAACGTGGTAACCTTGAAAAGGCCAATGCCAGAATGCTGCCAAGTTTTGTCTTGGATGAAATGGGGCCTGTATTTGAGATCCTTACTTCAACAGAGCTCCTTTCAAGGTGCACGCATGGAGGAACTCAAAATGTGAATGAATCATTTCATCACCTCATCTGGTCCCTGTGCCCTAAAGAAATTTTCGTCAGCTGGCGGCGACTGTAAATAGCTGTTTCCTCTGCCACATTGCAATTCAATGAGGGAAAAGCTAGCAAACTTGCTGTATGTGACAACCTTGGCTTGTTCCATTCAAGCTATCACCAGAAATATGCTAGCATGATGGACAAGCTAAGAGTCACAACCTCTCATGTAACTGAAGTCCAGAAAACAAAGCGGAAGAAGAACCAAGAAGCAACAAGCTTGAAAATACATTCAAGTGAATATGGTCTTGGAATCTGTGAAAATGCAGAATAACTGCTTTAGCTTGTTTCCAGGAACTTTAGAATAAGGTCCTCTATCATAAAATATTAAATATACATTTTTCCTGCAAGCGAATAAAGCATAAGAGTCCATAAAGCCTTTAACTAAACTTTAAACGCGTTTTTTTCAAAAGTTTAATTTACGGTTGACGTACATGATAAACTGAGATATATCTCCGCTCTTATAAAAGGAAGAGACTTGAAATTTTCAGGGTGGACGTGGATCAACACGATCGTGAACTTACGTGGAACAACACACACATATAACGTTGGTTACTGCTATTTGATCTGTTATTATATAATGATTTTTTGCAAATAGCAGTAAGTAAATGGCTCTTTTATTACCGATATTTTTAATTGATTTACTTCAAGGCTCATTAAGTCTAACAACTGATTTGTCACCACCATCAGAAAGTTTCGTTTCCGAAAAGGCGGACACTAACAGTTTCAATACCCCAAGTTCTAACATTGAAGATGAGCATCCAAGCCAGACTAAGACAGCCGATTCAGGAGCGAATTTTGGTGAACATTTAGATCGAAAAAACTGCCATGTTGACTTGGTAAAAGCAAGCGAAAATAAGAATGTTCCAAACAAAGTTCCGAAAATTCTTGGTACTCCTATAAAGCAGTCGAAAGGCACAGCGGAGCCAGTGATTAATAAAGGTACTCACCCATCAATATTTGACAAGGAAGTAAACTTATGTCCTAAAATATCATTATGTCAAATAGTAAATCTCATGATGCATGCTGCAATTGTAATCGAACAGGTAAACATTTCCACTGTTCATTGTGCTTGCAATCTCTCACTTTCTCTGTTATCTCTAAAGCATTCCGCCACATCCAGCAAACCCACCTGGATAGAAATAATATGGCTGTTTGGAGAAATTTTTTTATTTTGCCGTGTAAATTAATCCATCTTGAAAGAAATTTTCCAGAAACGATACATATCATTATCATTGTCCGGAATGCCTTAACATTATTCAACAAAAATTGTACATGTTACACTTAACAGCCACGATGAAAAGACCGATAAATACAAGAAATTCATACCCGCACACACAACAAAGAAGGAAGTTATAATGCAGGGGAATTTTGGGAAAATTGACACAACAAAGAACAGAATCAATTCTATTCATGCGGTATGTGACCAGGCCTAAGGAATCAATTGTGACATTTATGGCTAATCAATGCATCAAAAAAGCATTAGTTGGCACAAAAAGGCAATACACCGGGTGTTAAGCAAAGCTACAGCAGTATGCTGTGATCCCCTAGAAGGGCTTTATTTGGTCAAAAAATCTAAAAAGGGAGGAATAGGTTTTTCCACTGCATGTTCAAGAGATACTTCATGTCAATCAAGATAAAAACTAGAGAGTGAAAGTGAGCTATGCAGGGAGGAAATGGTAATAGCCGCTTGGTCAGGGATGACAGCAAGAGAATGCTATCATAATAATGCATCATTTCCTGAAACTTGTACGTTGCAAGAAGAAAAACTTTTAGAAATGTCTAGTGTTGAAAGGTACAGAATTTTAACCGATGAAACTATTGAAAGATGTCTCCAAAAAAATGACAAAAAAAAGATGTTCAGACATCATCTACTATCGTTGAGTGGGATGACAACAGCAATTTGCATTTGTCTGTCTTTGACAGGAACTGCAGCAACTTTCCTGTTAGATAACGTTATGTAGTCTCGTATAATAAAGTAAGTGGAAAGCTGGACTGTAGATGTAATGTAAAAAGGTTTTTTGTTTGCACAAAGCAATGTCTTCTT